ACTGTTTGGTGAATGACCAGTAAAATCTTTTAGGGGCTGTAAATCCTAAATGTTGTGTTTTATTCCTTCTAGTACTTTTGTCCATCTGTTCTCTGTTGTGTGATCCCAATCCAGATGACCCTTTAGTGCCTGAGATTGCACGGATCTACAAAACAGATAGAGAAAAGTGAGTATGGAAGTCAAACATCTGAATATCTAAGAATGAAATGGTTAGTTTTTTTTTTTTTTTAAAGAATGAGGAGATTATTTTAATTTGTGACTATGTACTTGGCACCAAAGACATTTCTTCTTGTTTATGGAAGTCAAACATCTGAATATCTAAGAATGAAATGGTTAGTTTTTTTTTTTTTTTAAAGAATGAGGAGATTATTTTAATTTGTGACTATGTACTTGGCACCAAAGACATTTCTTCTTGTTCAAGAGTAACATCTACTTCTGTTAGCAGCTTTGTATTTTCAGGTTTAAAATATTTGATAATTATTAGTAATAAGGTTTACTCCTCAACTGGATTGATTAGTCCACTAAAAGTCTAGTCATTGTCATCTGTACTTTTACACGTTATTATTTTGCAATTGCCTCTCTTAGGCCTTTCAGTTTCTGCTTTTAGGCTGCAGAGGGAGGAACAACTTAAACTTCTATCACAAGACACATGATTCAGGTGGTGGTAGGTGAACAAAAAATACTACATACTCCTGTTAGTTTTAGTGGGAAATTTTTGAGGTTCTGTTGGTTCCATTTCAAAGAAATAATTTTCCATGCACTGTTACAACTACATTATTCTTCCTGTGACATTGCTGCTGTACCACTGAACAGTAATTCTGCTAACTGAAATTGGCAACAATTAGCAATTAAGAATCACCTGAAAAGGAAAAAAATTAGGCCTGAGCACAATGAAAGTGGGTGTTTTGGAATTCTGGATCTTTCAACACTGAGTCCTTAGAGAGTTAGAGAATTGTATAGGTGATAAGCAAGTATGTCAGAATTTGGAACTCACTGTTCTTATTTTGAATCATTTTAGAAGTGGAAATTCAAGCAGATGGTTAACCTGTAAAGTGATCCTTACATTTTTCTTTTACTAATATTAAAAGAAATTGAACATGACTAGATTTCATACTTTGCAGCCTGTGAAGTGCATTGCATGAAGTTCACAACTGAGGTAAAGAAAGTGGAATCAAAAATGTAAAATACAGTACGTGTGTATGTCAATGAGCACATGTGCATTTTTGTGTGTTAGAAAAGGTTCATCAGGCAGCATGCAGGGCTTTGTGAATTCTTTTTTTTAATATTCTTAATTGTTGATGGGAGAAATCAGAAACATTTCTATCTCTATTGTAAGAACAGTGTTGAAATGAATTTTATTTTTATAAGCTGCTTTAATGTTGACTAATTTTTTTTGCAAAGATTGATTCAGTTCTAGAAATTTGAACTTAGTGAAACATCCTATTATTTGGTGAAGTTTACCCATTGTTAATCATCTTTCTTTATATATACAGGTACAACAGAATAGCTCGAGAATGGACTCAGAAGTATGCGATGTAATTAAAGAAATTATTGGATAACCTCTACAAATAAAGATAGGGGAACTCTGAAAGAGAAAGTCCTTTTGATTTCCATTTGACTGCTTTCTATGAGCCCACGCCTCATCTTCCCCTGTGCACATGTTTACCTGATACAGCAGTGCTGCGTGTTGTACACACTTGGAACAACGAAATACTGTATTCCATACCAACATTGACTCCTAGCAAAGAAATGTGTGTGAAAAGCCAGTTCTTCTATCAAAGTCTAGTTGTGAGCATAAAAGCATTCCTAAGACATTAAATTGGGTACTAAAACCAAACATGGAGGGAGAGGGGAAAGAATAAATTGTTCTTGTGTTTCTGGGGACTTTTGATGATTCAAAGAGGATGCTTTTTAAAAAAATGGAATCCTTTTAAACTCATAACTGTAATGAAAAAAAAGATGTGAAGAACTTGAAGCTGTTCTGTATTTTATTCTGAAGGACCTACTAAGGTAAATGTATGACCAATAAGATCAAATTGTACCCACATCCTGTGTTTAAAAGTCTGAGTTTAACTGGTCAGCATTTAAATGCATTGGAGCTATTAGTGCATCAAGTGATGTTGATTTTGTTTCAAATCTCCCCCTCCCCCTTCCCCTTCCTTTCATAATTTTGGTTTGTATGTGTTTTCTCAATTAACATAGCTAATAGCTCTTATTTTCTTAAGTTTTTAATGGCTTAGGTCTTTCTGGATGTAAGGGTAAAAATTCATTTGACAGACTTGTGTATATTTAAAGACCCAGCTGCTCCCTTGGAGCTTGTACGTTCAAGAATGATTAATCTGTGTAATAAACTGATTACTACAGTCATTACATATAACTGTGTGAATAGGTTTCATTTTTAGTTGTCTGTTTTAAGCATTTCTTTTCAATTTTCTTGCATTTTGATGGTTGCATTTGAGTATTGTGAATCTTCACGGATTTGTCATTAAAGGCTGTACTTCTGGGGAAAAAATAGATTAGTTTGACTCAAATTTCAGTTCTGATAGCATTAACTTCCATGATGATATTCTGGTTGTCTTGAGTTCATATGTCAGACTGTTAATCCTGGTAATGAATTTGCTAATTGAGCATCACACAATTTCACTTCACTTGGAATGGGATATACTATACGTAAGGGATAAAAATTGGGTAAAGTGGTAACATTTTAATAAATACAGTACTACAGACTGAGAAAGTTCGGTCTTCAAAACTGTTGCTCTAAATATTTGGAAATGTCCACTGTATATGTATATTATCAAGAAGCCTTCGTATAAAAAATAGTGAAAGCTACAGGTTGGGAGATGCTGAACCCTTCTTGCCCTTTTCCTGCAGTTTCTGTGGACTTTCAACAACTTTCCAAAGCAGATTTTGAACATACAGAGGATGGCAAAGAAAACATATTATGCAGATTGTGAAGGTTACATTGAATTCCATTTTGCATAGTAGCCTAAGCATTAGTCCATAGGAATTTGCTCCATGTGCAAGAACTATAGATTAGGGGCAATATACATGTACTGTTGCAAATGGGTGGGAACAAAACAACAGAAAAGTGATTGGGCCATTGGTTTGTCTCTTTCACATATGGCTGTTTAAGCATAAGGGCATATGTGTCAATCCAAAAGCATAAGCTTTTCTTGATGAAAAATCAAAAGAATTAAGGCAGGGCACAACAGTGAGTGATAAGTTTTGAGTGGGGGACAGATTATTATTTGATAATGTCAAAAGTGGATGTTGGGGGGAAATGGATATGGAAGGGGAAAAAAATGATGGAAACGAAAGTAGAACTGTAAGAAGAGACAGTATGAGTCCTGTATGAAAGCTACTTGGAACAAACTAAAATGTATTAGAGAATGCTAGTTATGCTAATGAGAAGGATGAAAAAGTATGCTAGGTGGAATGCTGGTGTGAAAGAGGCTGTTGATGAGAAAAAACATGTATGATTGCTACAAAAAATAAGATGTATAAAGTGTTTAAAAAGAAGAAAAACATTGTGAAGAATGTAGTCAAAGCAAACAAGATACAATTAAAAGAAGCAGAGAAACCACTAGTTTTGGTTGAAAATAAAATTGTTCTGTGGTTGGTAAAAAGGACTAAACAAGGAGCCTCCAGCAGAGTGAATAGAAATGAAAATAACTGCAATTAAATGACTTGTTTTGGGTACATATGAAGGTAGGTTGATAATTGTGACATGACTAGGGGTGAAGCTGGAGTGAGGGAATGCTGGAAGAATATTTTAGAGAGTTGTATGGAAATGACTGATAACATCAAAGAGTGGATTAAAATTATTATAAATAGTAATGTCCAAGAAAAAAATGATAAAAAATATGTCACAAATGCCATATGAATGCTGAAGTAGTAAAACTGCAGGTGTTGATGGTGTAAGTGAAGAAATATGGATAAGCCCAATAGTAGCTCAGGGTTGAACTGTGGAGTCCTTGGTGCTCTCTGAGCTTGGCTGTTTGCTTGCCGTTGACGTTTCATTACCCAACTAGGTAACATCATCACTGCGAGTGAGTGTGGGGTTTGCTCCCTGTTTATATGCAGTAACTTGCCTTGCCAGTGTTGGTGGGAGTGTGGTTTTCTCTTTGGTAGTTCCTTGGTTAAGGTATTGTTTTCTGTTTGATTGTTTGCCTGGTGTTAATCCCTGCTTATCTGGGTGTTGGCTGCTGAAGGGAAGGTGTTCTGGTCTTTTTGTTTCCTTCTTAGCTTTTTTATTGTCTCTTTTGAATGGGCATACATATGGTTTATTTCTATGTGTCCATTGATGGCTGATTTGTCTTGAATGCCAAGCTTCCAGGAATTCCGTAGCATTTTTGGATTTAGTTTGGTCTAGGATGCTCAGTTTCCCAGTTGAAACTATGGTTGAGTCTGTTCACATGTTGTGAGATTAAGGAGTTTTCAAGTTCAGGACACCCAAATTGCAGACCTGCTGCTTCAGAGGCAGTGCAACCCCATCCAGAGGTAACACAGGTAGTATGGAGGAACCTCAATGTACAAAGAGTAGCTCTGTCTTACTAGGGTTCAGTTTAAGCCTGTTGTCTCTCATCCAGATCTTAACAGCCTCCAGGCACTGGAAAAAAATTTCAGCAGCATCTCTAATGGAGCCTGAGGACATGATACCCAGGGTATCATCAGTGTATTACAGGTAGTCCTCGACTTACGACCATTCATTCAGCGACCAAAGTTATGGTGGCGCTGAACAAAGGGACTTATGACCAATCCCCAAAGTTGCTGCTGTTGCAGCACTTCTGCAGTCGCATGATCAAAATTTGGGCACTTGGCAGCCCGCCCGCACTTACAACTGCAGGGGCGCTTCAACTCCCCGCATCTGCCTATCTCCATCATCTATGCCCTTTTCGCCCCCTGCACTCCATGGCCCCTGCCACCCTAGTTGACCTTCGCCGGGTTCTTGCTCCTGCTGCTGACTGAGCATGCCTGGCTTGGCCCTTCACGAAGCAGCTGCCGGCTGCATGAAGCTTTCTTCCCCAGGTTGCGCATGGCAGTTTCCTCGCGATTCCTGGGGAAGATGGCCTCCCGTGCCCAGCAGCTACCTTGCGAAGGGCCAGGCTGGGTATGCCTCATCAGCAGCGGAAGCAAGAAGACAGCGAAGGTCAGTTGAGGTGGCAAAGCGTAGGGTAGCAGGGCGTGGGTGTACAAGGTGGTGAGGGTGACTGGGCTGGGCTGGAGCTGGGCTTTGCGCTGCAAATGGCTTTGCACTGTGCTGTGGCTCAGGTTCTTGCAGCCCCAGAGTCATGGCACACTGACCAGCCCCTTTGTGCTGCACTGCTGGGCTGGGCTGGGGCTCCGGCTTTGCATTGCGCTGTGGCTTGGGCTTCTTGCAGCCCTGGAGCTGCAGCGCACCAAGAAGCCCGAGCTGCAGTGTGGCAAGCAGCCCCAGAGCCGCACAGTTCTGGGACTGCTTGCTGCTCTGCAAGGCAGGGTGCAGGGCGGCCAAAAGGGCAGAGATGGGGGGGGGAATAGGCAGTTGGGGGGAGTTGAAGACGAGGCACTCCCTTACCTTGGAAGAACAGAGGCTCAGGCTTGGAAGGAACCAAGCTCGGAATGGCTTGGATTGGGGTGGGTCCTCAGCTATCGACTGGTAGAATTAGGTTAACAATAGCAATGGGGATTGTGGTCGCTAAGCGATGCAGTCACATGACATTGTGCCATATGACTGCATCGCTTAGTAATGGAAATTCCGGTCCCAACTGTGGTTGTAAGTAGAGGGCTATCTGTAGTGATATCCGACCTTTAACTGCCAGATAACCTCCCCCAGCATTCAGAGATGTTATGTCTGGGCCTTGACGTAGGTCATCAACTAGAGTGACCAGTATTGTCTCTGTCCCATACCCCAGCCTGAATCCTGACTGAAAAGAAACTGGATAATCTGCTTTTTCTAAGGCACTCTGTAGTTGGTCCCAAACCACCATCTTATTAAGGTGCTGCTCCTAGTCCAACACCTTACCGTTCCCATACTCTGGTTCTCCTGGAGAGTCAGGAGGGACAAGTCAAACACTACCTTGTCACTGAAACTCTTGCATGATCAAAATCATCACCTTACAGAATTCACAGTGGCTTTGCCCCTGTCCACCAAAATGGGGTCTTTAGATTATTCTTTGGCTTCTGAAATATTCTAACTGCTCAGAGGCAATATTGAAGACATGGTACTAGAGGGCTCAAAAATTATTAGGTTCTGGGTCGCTGTGCTTCACAGCAAGTTTTAAAAACTAACATTTCTATTTTTTAAAAAAGAAGCAGTGGAAAGGAGGAGCTATCCGTTCTCCCTCATGCAATTTTTGGCACATAAATTGTTCCTCTCCCCCAAAAAGTAGCCAATTATTATACTGGTGAAAAAAGAATACTTTTGTGCAAAACTGAATTATAATTAAACAGGCATGAAGCCAAAGCCCAGGTTGATGACAACAAACAATGTAGACTGCAGTAACCCAAGTCTGACTGAAAGCCATTCGGCATAACAAACATCTTCAGTTTCAGGAGCAACAAAGAGCATTTCTTGTTGATCAGGACTGTTTTTGACATGATGGAGGATGGCTGCATTGTGCTATTTATTGATACAGACAGTTGCAAGATAACTGGGCAGGATTGATCAGTGCAAAACAGTGCACTTGGCCATAGAGAACACTGCATTTTTTCCAGATGTTCGCTCTGCAATTGCATGGCTAGGGAGTGGTAAGTGCAGGCATAGCTCAGTTTGCCCCCTAGGATGTTGAACACAGCTGAATGTAATCAAGTGACTCTAAAATGCAGCATTTATTCTGCCATCGGGTGTGCAGACGGGAGGGAGAGAAGGGACAGGCTTGATAACTCAGTTGATAAAAAAACATTGTCCAGAACTCTTCCTCAATTTTACATTTGCCACCTTTTGAATTGGCTACAGTAGGCCATTGGAAGATGGCAATCTGGAGGATAATAGGGTTGGAGAAAATATCTTCCAACAGAAATATTCCATATAATAATGTGTCACAAGCATGGTAGTATTGGTATGGCCCAAACAATTTTCCCTCCCTCTCGTCCCAACTCCACACCTCATACTTGGCCATTTTCCTCATTTCCAGGAGATATCCAAAGGCCATGACACTAGACTTAGTCAGTAATCCATATTTTGATACCTTCAAGTTTGCATTGCAGTTACATCTGCTATGTGAGGTTCCTCTTGAGAGTGGCTTGACTGTGTGCCATCAAGTCAGGGTTGACTTTTAGCAACCACACAGATAGATTTTTTCCATGAGGGATCTGTCCCAACCTTCAGGTCTTGGGGTACGCCCATTGCTGATAATTGAGTTTACCTACCTTGCATGGGTTATCCTCTCTCTC